GCTTGTTCATCTCCACCCTCAGGCCCCTCCCAACCACAACGCCTTACTTGGGACAAGGATCAGTGACATGCTATGGTTAGGAGGGGTGAGACCTGCACTCCACTTGAGCATTTCCCAGCAGACAATAGGTCTGTGTCATGCTAAGGAGTTTAGGGTCGTTGGCCTCAGCTAGGGCGCTAGACCTGCTCCCTTTACAAAGCAGACCTGAGATTGTTATGAGTTAGTATCAGGATTAGGGTGTGGCTCACCCACACCATAGGTTTTAAATCTCCAACGCGCGGTCGTGAATTCATCCTGAAGAAGTCCCCAGGTTGAGGACGAAACGCCGGGAAACCTTGCTAAGACGTACAGATGATGGGTGAGGAAACCTTCCCTTTGCTATCCTACTATAACCCGGAAAGCCTCACAGGAGAATAAACAATGGGATGCCTGGTCATACCGTCAGATTAAAATGCTTACAGAGCAGACAAACATCAGAAGCTATACGCTACATGAGCCGCTTGCAAAGTTGTTTTAACCCCATTTCCAGAGTAGCTTTACTTGCGACAAGTCGGTAGTAAACACAGAGAGATTATTCTGTTAATCTTCGCTTCACTGCTATGTCAAGGCTCTGGACAAGAAGGCTGAACCAGTACGTCCCTCACAGGATCTATTGCGATCATCCAGTAAAAACAAACAATGCTCGAATGTTCATCGATCAGTTCTTGTACAAGGAATTGCCGGCAGCCTTTTTGTTTTATCTTTGAGTTTATGTTGGAGCCTTACTATCAACTGGTGCGGAAATACACTTCCAAGCGGGACAATACGTGACAGTCGGTATAGGGGCACTACCTAATTCACTTCACTCCAGCTAAGATGAGCTTAGGCCTTTGCTATCCCAAACAAAAATATAGCTATCTCTCTTTTCATGTTCTCCAACATTCTTTGAAGGACCTTTGTTCTGGGTGCGACCCAAATTGGCCCTTCTAATTCACCAATACCGCCCACATGAGTTTTCAATTCTACTATTTCTCAATGGCATTTCTCCTAACTCGACCTGCAATTGCAGAAAGAGATGTTTTAAGAGCTCTCATTGGCCGCGTAGGGCTTTAGCTTGTTCCATATCAAGTTTTATTAAGTAGTCACAGGAGCGACACAAAGGCTAAACACCCATAATCGAGGAGTAGGACGCATCCCAGCCGGTTTATATTTAACGGTGATTTCCTTCTGGCCTCCCCAGGTCCTGGCAGATAAACAACGCAACCAAATTATTCACTTTTAAACATTATTTTGTCCTTTTCCATTTAGGGTTTTCACAAAAAAATTACACCTAAAAACTTGTTTCCTTCACTTTTTCAAGCGCTCCTATAGTTTCAGTGAAACTGCTTTGTGACGGCTGAAGGAAACACTCATTGGGACTTTGGAGACAGTTTAAATCCCTCAGTCTTGAGTCCACTTCTCCCACCTGCTGTATTGCTTCTTTGGCCGTTCTTTACCATAAATTAAGGTTTCTTCCCATACCAAATGCTCCATAATCGCATACAGACTTCGTTCAAAGAACGATCAAACACCCTCAAAAATATTATTTATCCAAAAACATTAAACAGGATTGGGTTCACACGCTTCCCTGCCGGAATACCATTTTCAAACTGCATAACAACATCAACAGGAAAGCTTTTAACCCAATTTTGAATTACCCCCAAATTACCAAACTTTGCGCAACTGATTTGAGAAGGCCTTCTTTCACACCATGGTCCATAGCCTTCTCAAACATCATAAAAACTGAGCGATAACCTTTTCTTTATTTGTCTTGCTTTTGGAATTTCAGATTCCAGGCATAATACAGGAGTCCATGCGTATTCCTACCTTTACAAAAGCCGCTTTGGTGAGTGGAAAGAAATTAGTGGTTTTTTTCTAAAACAAAATGTACTCTTTCTGTTTCATGCGCTCCCTAGGTCTTTCCCAACTGTGAACGTTAACGCAATAGGCCTTTAAGTTGACGGGTCAGAAGGTGGACTTTCCCGTTTCAACACGGGACTACAACAGACTGTTTCCAATGCTCCTAGTGTCCCAAACAAGAGTTGAACAAACTCCAGTAATTAATTCAAGTGTCTCATCAGCCAAATGAAATTAGAAGTTTTAAACATACCATCATCTTTACCCAGGGTTGTTTGTCTCGCCTTAGACAGAGCTCTCTTCAACTCAAAAAGAATTTAATGGAAAGGTCGAGATCTTCCGGAAGACTGTAGGTTGTGATTGAATCAAATAACCAAACTGGCCAAAGTGCTGCCTACTTTCTGTGCTGCAGGCGTCTGGTTGTCAGAGCTGTGGACTGAGTACAAAAGTTTCAGCCAACATTTTAGCTTTGTTGAATTTGTTGTTTGCCTCAGTGCCTTCTTAGTTTAAACTGGCATAGTGTAGTTTCTCCTCACCCCATTTCATAATTTTAAACCATAACATCATTTATATGTACAACACAGTGATTTCCAGCGTTTTTAATAAAAGAACTACGCCTTCCACCTTCACTTTCCTTTCCCCTGTCATTCCTTTGCTTGTATGTCCTTGAATAATAAAATCATTTGGGGTTTTAGCCAGTCTCTTGAACACCTATGAATTGAGGTTGGTCTGCAGGGCCAGAATATGATGTTTACATTTCTTGACCATTTGCAGAAGGTCCTGGCGTTCCACTGCAGAACCGTCACCCCCCAGTAGGGAACCCAGAACATGGCTGTAGGTTTGAGGGTTCTCTATTTTGGTTCTTGTTTAACAGCTCTTCAATTTCAATCCTTGACCTTAATACCCAGATATCTTTTGCAGCCTTAACAATTATCACTATTCTTTCAGTTTTCTTTTCTGTCTGGGCCAGCACCAATTAATGATCTCCACCTGAAGAGAAGAGAAGAGAAAAATGTGATGTGCTTTAATGTTCTCACAAAGGAGGATTTACATGTCACATTGGCATGGATAGAGACATCGATGAATAAAATCTTTCTTATTCACACATAAAGTATCTTCTTTAACTTGGGGTCTGGAGGGTTCAACCACTTTCCATTACTACACTGCATTCGATGCAGGATTTACTTCACTTCCCTGGGAAGAACCGACACTTTCTTCACGCCTCTGGCTGAGGGACGCGCCTTGTGTGACTCCTTTGCACCTCCGCAGCCCTTCGCTAGCCCAAATCCTCGGGAAACGCTGACTTTTCTCCCCTCCCACCGTTGCAACACTTCACTTGCTCCTTCGTCGCATTGTCCACACTCTTGTTCTCAGAGCATTTTCCGCATATCTGTATTACTGCATGTACGGTTTCACTTCATAGCTCTAAATCCAATAAACACTTTATTTGGCATAGCATCTCACATCAAACACTACAGACTAAACTCTACATTTTTCTTCAAACCTCGTTGTCATCCGGTAAACTTCGCTTCAGCATAAAACTATTTAAATTGTTCCCATAGTCTCCATTATTGGGATCTTGAGATTTCACACCTCTAACCCTGGAGACTAATATTTTCTTATCATCATAAGATGTTTAGCTTGACGGGCCTTTATTCTGCGCACCAGCGTTTTACAAATAACCTTAAAGAACCAGTGAGCGACAGTGGCTCAGATGGTAGAGCATTGGCATTGAGCCTGAAGGTTATGGGTTTCACGCCCCACCATTAAGACCTACTTCACGACACCCACTGATGACTTGCTATCGTTGTGTCCTAGGGCAAGGAACTTAGTCCACTTTGCCTGAATCGCCCACTGAAAGCCTCTCAGCTCCTGTGGACTCATCACCTGCAGGAGGATCAGTGATGGGCGATACCAAGACTTTCCGATTTATTGGTGACATTTGTTTGCCTTTTTACGTTTCCGTCTACTACCCTTTGGATCTTACATGAGAAAGGTTTTCTTTTCTCTGTAAAGCATACTCCCCCATTTCCAGGACAAATCACTTCCCTCACCATCTTCCCTGTTCATTCCAGCGCCTTTCCCAAAGTGTTGACTTACAGGTTCATTCACCGCCACCCTCCAGATAAAGTAATACTAATTACAACAATGATATGATGATGATGTGATAAATAAATAATAATAATGATATATTAACACATAAAATAATATCAATGATAATAATAATACTGGTATTATTTTATTGGCATCACAGGTTCATTCATTACTTCTTTGAAGTTGTAGCCTGAAAGAAATCAAAATCCCTTTTCTTTATACTGAGTCAGTTTTCTTTATGATCTGGAATTCTTTAGAAAAACTCTATGTTGACTAATCTGTCCTGGTCACAGCCTCCCCCTCCAGGCCTCCTCCTCCAGACTTTCCCCTCCAAACCTTCCCGGCCTCCTCCTCCCAGCCCCCTCCCCCCCAGACCTCCCCCACAGACAACAGCAGTTCAAGGAGACTTTTATTCCAGATCTGTTACAGATAGATTCTCTGAAACAGGGAGCAGCATCATCAGTGAGCAAATCAAATCAATTCTTTAATTTCATAACAATTCATTTCAGTCGGTTGCTTTTGTTTAAAGGTAGAAGTGTTTAGGGCAACGGAAAAAACTGGAGGCAAAACAAGATAGTTAGAAAGGATCTTCGCATAAACACATTGGATAAAACATGATATGGGTTCTGTGGGATGTAGGGTCAGGGTCAGGGTCTGTAGGATCAGGGGCTGTGGGGTCAGGGGTCTGTGGGGTCAGGGTCTGTGGGGTCAGGGGTTTCAGGGTCTTGTAGGTCTGGGTCTGTGGGTTCGGGTTGTAGGATCAGGGTCTGTGGGATCAGGGTCTGTGGGGGTCAGGGTCTGTGGGTCAGGTCTGTGGGTCAGGGGTCAGGGTCTGTAGGGTCAGGGTCTGTGGGGTCAGGGTCTGTGTGGGTCAGGGTCTGTGGGTCAGGTCTGTGGGGTCAGGGTCTGTGGGTCAGGGGTCAGGGGTCAGGGTCTGTAGGGTCAGGGTCTGTGGGTCAGGGTCTGTAGGATAGGGGTCTGTGGATCAGGGTCTGTGGGGATAAGGGTCTGTGGGATCAGGGTTGTTAGGATCAGGGTCTGTGGGGTTCCGGGTCTGTGGGATCAGGGTCTGTGGGGTCAGGGGTCAGGGTCTGTAGGGTCAGGGTCGGTAGGGTCGGGGTCTGTAGGGTCAGGGGTCAGGGTGTGTAGGGTTCCAGGGTCTGTAGGCAGACAGTTGTCAGGGTCAATATTTTCTACAGAAAATGAATGTCAAACCATTTCTCCTTAAATCCACAAAAACCTAAAGTTTGTGGGATTTGTACATATTTTTCTTCAGTCTCTTTCCATCAAGACAGCAGCCGGAAACCCCGGCCAAATGGTCGCATTAGAACAGGGGAGCCAATCACAGAACGAGGCACAGCTACGACAACGACAATTTTCTGTTAGTGGAGTAGTAGAACTGCACAATGCAGGCAGTTAGGGAGTAGGGGTGTAAGATGTCATGGTATCCCACTATGACATCATTTGACATCACTATGACATCACCTTTAACGACACTTTTTCCTGTTTTATAACAACGTTTTTCCCATAAAATTAGTTTGGTAATTTTTCGCTGAAATAAGGTTCCTTTACAATCAACGTTACAAGGGGGCACTAGCCGCTGCTCCTCCTCTGGATGGCAGCTCAGGCGTTACGTGGGCTCTGACTGCAGCGCTGCTCCTCTGATGGCAGCATCATGGTCCTTGCTTGTTTCATCATGTATTTCTAACTGAATATATTTTTTCTAAAACAGGGACAAAGTAAATAGTCTCATTATCTCTTCTTTTGAACAAAAGTCATGGTTTAACTCTATTCTTTGACTCGATCAGTTCCAGGCACAAAATAAAAACCTTTCCTTCTTCTCTTTGCGTCAGAAATGGCAGGAAATGTTTGTGTGCACAGTAAAAATGTCCCCCGTGTGCGCGCGACGGGAACCTCAGAACGATGCTTCATCTTTACACTTTTCTACATCCAAAACACATCCAGAGTCGCGGAATATGGCTTTGGGACATCTGGAATTTCGTGAGGATCCAGGACAATTACGTTTGTGGACAGAGGTCCTTCAATCTCTCGTGTTGATTTTTTGGCATTCCTGTTTTTGATTCTCTGATCGTCTGTTGGCAAATCACAACTTGTAAAGTCCTCGGAGACTGTGGTTCAGGGCGAGACTTAAATACATGAGTCCGGATAATGAGCTGTAGGTCTTTGACGATGGGGTCAGGGGTCAGGATGTCAGGAGTCAGGGTCAAACGTCAGGGGTCAGGGGGTCAGCTCCTAGCAGTGAGAGTGGGAGGCGGGTGGGTGCGTGGCTGACTGGCTCGTTCGCCACAGGGCGCGGAGCAGCGGTTGTGTGGTGGTTGTTCGTGCGTTGTGACTGGTGAGGCCCGTTGTCATAGTGATTGTCTCTGCCCAGCACCAGGCGCCCGTCCCTGCTCCTCTACTGGAACAGCTCCCACCACAGGATCTTCTCTTTGTGGTTGGGGGGCTGAATCTGCTAAATGTTGTCTTTGGGGAATGTCCGGGATCAGCCAGTCCCACGAAGTCACTCTACAGCATCACCACGTTTACGGGAAGAGAGTTGAAATTATGTAGCACGTGTTTACAACCAAGGTCTCCCAAAGCGCTTTGCAACAGGGGTGTCCAAACTTTTTAGTACAGATGGCCACTTCCCAGATGGTCCAGGAGCTGTTCTGAGGTATCATGATTATCTATAACTGAGCTAGAAGTTGGCTGGAATGACACAGTTTACAATCTCAGGCTGCTTCATTAGCTCCGTATTGGACGTGACACCAATCAATAAACCATGCGTAAGTTTGTACAAATAAGAGTAAAGTAAAGTCAAATAATACCATAAAACAGTTACGGACATGTTATATGGTCTGAGCTGAAGTTGGATAGTTGACAGTGAATTTGTTTTATGATTCAAATGCAAAGACATGAAGATCAAGGATATGCTCCACACTCAGAGTGCAGCCGCCCTCCTGTGGACTCACCACCTGACAGAGGGGCTGGTGCTATGAGACTTGGGTGGGCATCTCTGACTGTCACCCCCCTTGACCCAGAATGATTAAGGGTAGAAAATGGATTGGATGGATCTCAAAGGACTACTGTGGGTTAGGAGGCAGAGGGCCACGTACAATGAACACTGAGGGCCACCTATTGGCCCCCCTGGACCTGAGCTTGGACATGCCTGGTTTACAATGTTCAGATTCAGTATTGTTCCCATTCTCTTTCACCCAGAACACACCGGATCTCACGGGCTCGACCAAACACCCTCCCATCACTCATTAACAACAGACCAGCATCAGAGCCCAGCATCAGAGACCTGCACCAGAGACCAGCAGCAGAGACCCGCACCAGAGGACCAGCACCAGAGACAGCCACCGAGACCAGCCACCAGAGTACCAGCACCAGAGACCTGCCATCAGTGACCATGTGAGTTTTTACCTGGAAGACGATGCCGAAGGCGAGGCGCGCCGCCAGAATCGCCAAAACTCCTTTGGAAAGGTCATACTTTGTGCTCTGCCAGGGAGGATCCCTGTAGTCTTTAAATCTGAAACGACGCGCACACACACACGCACGCACGCACCGCACACACACACACACACCCGATTCAGATTCCGTATATTTGCCATTTGCAGTAAAAAAAACAATTTAGCAAAAAAGTCTCCAGTGTGCACAGGACAAATACAGACATAAAACAACATTAAAGTAAGGAAATAAAACAAATAAAACAGTCAACAAATGTCACTGTGAAATCGATCGACTAAAACAGTTTCAAAACAGTGCAAATCATTAAAGTGCTCTGTTCACACTGATAACAGCTTGTGGATAAAAAACTGTTAGCGTAACGAGATGGTCCTGCATCTCAGGAGAGGCGTATCTTCTGCCAGAGGGAAGAAGTGGAACAAGGCTTTTCCAGGGGTGACCAGACGCGTCATTGATAATTCTGTATAGCTCTATTAAGAAGGTTGGATTTAAAAGAACTCCAGAACAGGAAGCTCACAGCCACGGTCCTCTTTGCAGAGCGGGAGCACCCTTGTTTAAGCTCTTTTCGTTATCTGTGATGTTTCCAAACCACACAGACACAGACCCAACAAGTAAACTCTCATGGTGCAGCGATAAACTGTTAAGCAGAATCTTGAGTTAGTGGTATAATTCTCTAAGTTTCCGCAGAAAGTACCGACGTGACCGAGCTTTCTTAACGACTCGGATGTTCTACCTGGACCCCTGAAATGGGTTAAAAAACTGACCGCGCCGCTAGTCAATTTCCCTTGTGGATCGATAACATCGAAGTCTATAGTCTAAGTCTAAGTCTAAGTCTAGGTCTATAGTCAAGGTCTATAGTCTAAGTCTAAGTCTAAGTCTATAGTCTAAGTCCCTGACCTGGGCATGTGAGCAGCAGGGTCCACAGAGTCCCGTCTGCTGCATCAAAGCTGATCTGAGGAGCTGCTGCGGTCTGAGGAAAGAGAAGATCCAAATCAAAGCCTGTCCTTCCTCCGCACTGACATCAGTCCAAACCCAGAGTGAGGCGCACCTCTGTTGGTGTGAGCGTGTTCCCGAAGTGTGCGGCGCCGTCCTGACCGTAGCGCACTCTGAGAGCGACGAGGGGGAGGAAGAAGGCGCGGGGGAACAGGTCCCTGTAGACGCCGTAGTGTTCTGCCAGTCTCCGGATGTGGAAGGGCCCGTTGGTCTGCTCCCAGGTCTCAAGCACCTGCTCCATCGACACCTGCACTGGGAAGGCCAACAGCAGAGGGTCAAATACTCATCAGTGCAAAACAAGTCCTCATGCAAAATGGAAGCCACACAATCAGTGGTAGTTTTGGGGCATTTTCAAGTTCCTTACGGTGTTAAAATGAGGTATTGTTTGCTGTTTTGTTACTTAAAACAGCCCTGACTCTTGTATTTCATGTTTCACATTTATCTATTTATTTGTAAAAGGTGTTTGATGCTCACGTGTTCGCAGACGAGCCGCTCTCTCCAGCTCCACGTTCTGCTTGTTCTCCTTCAGCCGCTGCATCCGTTCTTTGACCTGTTTGCTTCTGCTGGGCTGTTTGTAAGGGAACCCAATGTCCACCTGCTCTGCACCTGCGTCACAGCCACAGCCACACGTTATACTTTTACACAGATCCAGTTACTTTCACACTGCGGTGAGGACTACAAATGGTAAAATATAACTTTGTGTTGACCGTGCCTCAGGACATAGCTTTATCCTTCATAATAATAATAATAATTCACCAAGGTTTGATTGGCGCCTAGATAACCCTGCTCATCGTCCTGTCTGCACCATCTCCAGTGTCAAATTCAGGGGGGAGCATCATGCTATGGGGCTGCTTTTCTTCAGCGGGGACTGGGAAGATTGTAAGAAAAGCTGGGAAGATGGGACGGAGACAAATACAGAAAACCTGCAAGAGTCAGCAGGAGAAATGAGGCCGGGAAAAAGATTGACCTTCCAGCAGGAGAATGGCCCTAACCACAAAGCTACATCTACAAACTAAACATATCAATGTGTGAGAATGACACAGTCCAGAGATAAATCCAATAGAAAATCTGTGGAAAGACCTGAAAAGTGATGTTCACAAACGCTCTCCGTCTAGTTGGAGAGCGTTTGTCTTATAAAGATGGCGCCTCGTACGGTCGACACGGCTCTTTGCTGCTCTCTTTTTCTTTTGTTTTTACTTTTTAACTGCGCATCTGGCTGTTCCTACACCCATGAGGAACTTATGAACATCCGACCCACCGTCCCCATGGACCTATTGCCTGTTTTCTTGGCATCTACGGCTGATTTAGTCCATGTTCTAGCCAAAAAAGTGTGGGCCCGTAAAAGGGGAAAGAGCGGAGGCCTGCTCGTGCGTCTGAGGAGGAGAGGAGCGCACGGCTCTCCCCGGCATTTTTCTCTCCAACGCTCGCTCTCTGGGCAATAAGACAAACTCAGCCTGCTCATGAGAAGAAACAAGGACTTCATCCTGTGTCCTCTGCTTCACTGAGACCTGGCTAAATGAGCGGATCCCGGACTGCACTCTGGAGCTGCAGGGCTTTGGGCTGTTCCGCGCGGATCGCCATTGTGCGCTCTCAGGGAAGAGCAGAGGCGGTGGGCTGTGCTTCTACGTCAATACAAACTGGTGTAACGATGTGACAGTGATCTCCAAGCACTGCTCTCCTGCTCTGGAATATATTTTCATTCATTGTAAACCATTTTACTCTCCTCGTGAAATTGTTTCATTCATTCTTGCCTCTGTTTACATACCGCCATGCGCGGACGCGCGCGAGGCTCAACGCGCACTCGCAGAGCAAGTACTGTGTATGGAACGTTTATACCCGGACTCTCTGATTATTATCCTGGGGGATTTTAATAAGGGAAACTTGAGCCAGGAATTACCCAAATATAGACAGTTTATCAAATGCCCGACCAGAGAGGAGAACACTCTGGATCACTGTTACACCACCGTGCGCGGAGCTTTTCGCGCTGTTCCCAAGCCAGTTCCCAAGCCAGCCCTCAGGCTGGCTGGTTCCTGCTTACAGACAGAGACTAAAGCTCTCAAAACCTGCAGTGAGGAGCTCCAAAGTGTGGTCTGATGAAGCTGTGGTCTGATGAAGCTGTGGAAGAGCTGCGCGCATGCATGGAATCTACAGACTGGGACAGACAGTTTGGATGAATATACGGACACTGTGACGTCATACATTCACTTCTGTGAGGATAGCATCATTCCAACAAGGACCAGGGTCATCTATAACAACGACAAACCCTGGTTCACTGCTAAACTCCGGCAGCTCAGGAAAGCAAAGGAGTCTGCTTTCAGGGAGGGGGACCGCAGCGGCTACAAAGCAGCTAAATATCAGTTCAGGAAAGAACTGAAAGCAGCCAAGTCCCGGCACAGAGAACGACTACAGGAGCAGTTTGGTAACAACGATACTGCTTCTGTCTGGAGGGGCCTACGGGAGATCACCAACTATAAGCCCAACGCCCCCCCCCTGTGCCGACGACCACAGACTGGCCAACGACCGGAACAGGTTTTTCAGCCGCTTCGACGCTGCCCCGGACACCTCCCCCACCCCCCACTACTCTAACGACCCACCCATCAGCCCTGCCCCCAGCCTAACAATAGCCTCTAAAGCAGGGGTGTCAAACTCATTTTGGTCCGGGGGCCACATACAACCTAATCTGATCTCAAGTGGGCCGGACCAGGAGATGCTCTACAAAAATATCCAAAAACGGTACAAAGTCCAACTTTTTGAGCACATAAACACATGTATTTAAAACTTCCTTTAAAACACTATCCTTTAATACTCAGTTTTCTGTTACAAACTTAAATGTAACAGTGAGTTTTTCATAGTGCAAATAATGTAATGTATTTACAATATTACATTGAAAATGGTATTTCACAATATGTATATTAATATTTGTATGTTAGCTTTGTTTTAAGGCTCATTACAGAGAAAACTTGCTCACAAAGGTAAAGTAGGTAGATAGAAAAAAACACTTTAACACAGCACCTCAGCTTAACCATCTTCAGTGTGGTAAGGTCCATGGTTATGTTATTATCACATTAACCATCTTCAGTGTGGTCAGGTCCATGGTTATGTTATTATCACATTAACCATCTTCAGTGTGGTACGGTCCATGGTTATGTTATTATCACAGAGAAAGCATCAAACTGACCATGATTCACTTGAAATGAATAAAACAACTTCCATAACGTGATCCATTCTTAACGACTGCAGCAGTGTCTCTGTGTAAAATACAGTCAAATGTCCAAAAATCATCACCTCCATTTGCAGCTTTGTCACTACACCTGTTTTTACCATCGGTACCCGTCCACACTGTCCAACACACCAGCAACAACAGCAGAACCAGCAGCAGCACCAGCAGCAGCGCTCAAAACTCCTCTGATAGTTTCAGTAACACCACAAATGAATATGTGACATCAGTAACATCAGTCTCTTATCAATGGCAACATGTTGGTAAAAGCGAGTGGTTTCTCAGACCATGTCTGCAGCCTGTGAGAGTTTTAACAAACTCTCTCTCACTGTGCGGCTGCGATGCTAATGTTGTTGGCACAGGTAGCTTCCCTTTACAGCAGCAGCACTAACCTCTCGCTCTGGGCACAAACAGACTGCTGTGTCTTCAGGGCCAGACATGTTTATCTTCTGTTTTCTCAATTCTCCGCTCAAAGTGCCGTATTTTTCGCCGAGTCTTGTAGTTTAAGATGTTATTCCTCCAGCACCGCTCTGGTGGAGCCACTACAGACGCACTGGACTCACCCCTAAGCGCGGCGCTGCGGCGTCGCGTCGCAGAGCCTTGCATCGCGGAGCCTCGCGTCGCGGCTTTTTAAAATGTATTATTATTATATTTTTACATAAATGAGCCGCGGGCCGTGTCAAATCTCTTGGCGGGCCGGTTCCGGCCCGAGGGCCGTATGAATGACACCCCTGCTCTAAAGAGATTTATAACCTATGGGTGTGGTAAGCCACACCCTAATCCTGATACTAACTCGTAAACAATCTCAGGTCTGCTTGATGTAGAAGGGAGCAGGTCTAACGACCCTGCTGAGGCTAACGACCCTAACTCCTTAGCATGTCACAGACCTATTGTCTGCTGAGATGCTCAAGTGGAGTGCAGGTCTCACCCCTCCTAACTCATTAGCATGTCACTGACCTTGTCCCAAGTTAGGGCGTTGTTTTTAGGATGTCGTCATAGATGCGAGGCAAAACAAATCTTAACCCTCCTCCTCTGTTAAGAGAAGGTTTTTGTTTCCTCACAAAAATGGCTTCTTTCACCCCTCTCTCAAACCAATTCTTCTCCCGAGCCAGAATTTTAACCTCTGTGTCATCCACCGTGTGGTTGGAGGCCTTGAGGTGGAGATGAACAGCCGACTGTAGCCCACTAGAGTTTTCTCTACGATGTTGGTAAAGTCGTTTCTGTAGAGTTTGTTTGGTTTCTCCAATATAGTGGTCAGTGCACTCCTCTTCACTACATTTAATTGAATACACCACATTGCTCTGTTTGTGTCTGGGTGTTTTGTCTTTGGGATGCACTAATTTCTGTCTTAACGTGTTGAAAGGTTTGAAATACACAGGGATTTTGTGTTGCCTAAAGATTCTTTGTAGTTTCTCTGAAACTCCCGCCACATACGGTAAGGACACCCCTCTCCTCCTACTTTCTTCTGTCTGTTGGACTGTGTCTCTGGCCTTTCTCGTCCTTTGGGCTTTAGTAAAAGACCACTTGGGGTAGCCACATCTGGAAAGTGCTCTCTGAACATGTTTGGTGTCTCTGTGTCATGTGTCTCTGTTCTTTCCCTCCGAGCTAGTGGGGACCTGGTGGGCTCGGTGTTGAAGCGTTCTAATGACCCCGAGTTTGTGTTGTAGCGGATGATTTGAATCAAAGGCCAAGTACTGGTCAGTGTGAGTGGACTTTCTGAAGACCTCAGTCTCTAATTGTCCGTTCTCCAGTATGATGACCTTACAATCTAGAAAGGCGAGTTCACTCTCCTTAGCATCCTCGCGAGTGAAATTTATAAAAGGGTCCACCGAGTTAATGTGTGCTGAAAATGGTTCCACTTCCTGTTTCTTTAACTTAACCCATGTATTGTCTACATATCGAAACCAATGGCTTGGCGCTGTCCCTTGGTACGAGCCCAGGGCTTGTTCCTCCAGTTTCTCCATATACAGATTGGCCACTATAGGAGAGACTGGGGAGCCCATCGCACAGCCATGAATCTGTCTAAAGAAGGTGCCTCTAAATTGGAAATACGTGGTGTTAAGACACATTTCAAGTATTTCACAGATGTGGTCAGGCTGTTCATCTCCACCTCAAGGCCTCCAACCACACGGTGGATGACACAGAGGTTAAAATTCTGGCTCGGGAGAAGAATTGGTTTGAGAGAGGAGTGAAAGAAGCCATTTTTGTGAGGAAACAAAAACCTTCTCTTAACAGAGGAGGAGGGTTAAGATTTGTTTTGCCTCGCATCTATGACGACATCCTAAAAACAACGCCCTAACTTGGGACAAGGTCAGTGACATGCTAATGAGTTAGGAGGGGTGAAACCTGCACTCCACTTGAGCATCCCAGCAGACAATAGGTCAGTGAC